ACTGTGCCATGTGTCCTTGAGCGAAATAAAGGGTTCAGTTCGACATTCCAACCACCTGAAGAAGGCCAGAGCATACAACGGCCGAAACGTTGTAATAAATATGGTGACAAAAATGAGGACAATAGTCCGAATAATGTAAATAGGTTTTTTTTTTTTTACTCCATTTGGTAGTTTGTGCAATATCGGAAGAGTGATCAATCGCGAATCTTTGTCCATCGAGAATTTTTGAGGTGCGCCCGTATTTAGTCGTATGATCTGAGCATATTCTTAGGCAGATCATTTATATAGATCAAAACGAGGATCGATCCTAGGAGTTTACCACTAGGGCTCCGGAGGACTGGTTATTAATACCTACTTTCAGGAACTTACCTGTTAGGATGGATTTTATGATCGAGAAGACCCTTCCAGCGATTCCATAACTGGAGACTTGGGTAGGATTTCTCCTTCAAGCAGCGGTTGAATAACTTTGCGAGGATTTTGGATAATTCCGTGTTGATATTGTGTTATAGTGGAACACCACCTATTCTATTGTTAATAGACCCTCCCACCTATGATAAGTAGGAGTAGTATGAGTCGATCAGTGGGTCGGTCAGTCAATCGACTGGCTGATCGGTTGAACTCTCTGCCTTCGGGCGGGGAGGAACCCGAAAGAGGCTACACCGAAGGACGGATTTTCTTTCGGGGAAGTAAACCGACCCTGAACCCGTTTATACGGGTTCAATGGGAATATTTTTAACCGAGCCTACGGGCTCGGAGATCCCACGTTAAACTGGCCTTGTGCCACATGATGCCCTCGTGGTGGGGGGTGACTAAATATCGTCGGTCAGTCAGTCGATGCTGGACGACCGTTAGTCGGATACTAAAGTATCAGCGACCACAACTAGATTTACTCTGCGTCATTACCTATTATATCAGGTTCCTAACGTTTTGTACGTCGAATCTATTTTAGGACCGACTTAGTACAAATACAAGCCTCCACTGTGAAACCACTCCACAACATATTGTTAAGGACAACCACTGGAATTTTGTCTGGGCTAGTGGCATTTGATAAATCTCAAAACCCCTCATACTGTAATGATAATATTATTGAGATTGTCCTCAGTGAGACGTGGGATGTTGTCGAGGAGATTGTCTTTCTCATCTAATGTTGAGTTAGAGGTAATGATCAAGGCGAAGATTTTCGTCTTGTCTATCGAGGAAGATATGAAACAGGGCCACTTATAATTGTGGTCGCTTTACCTCTGTTCATGATTTGGTTGGCGATACTCTAGAATACCCAGGATCCAATTTCTTTTCAACCTTGGTATGGACTGCTCGTGCGTAGCTGCACTTGGCGTTTTTTAGAACTTTTTTTGCAGCGATTTCCCGCAGTTCTGAATGCTGTGAGGGTCAAACTACATCGCTCTTTGCGATAGATATTGAAGTAGTCGTTTCGGTGTGTTATGGCTGCAGCGCGCCCAGGAGTGAACCAGGGCTTACTGTTTGGTTTTTGATTTAATTCTTTTTTTTATATACAAACTACAAGTGTAGCAGTTTTGGAGGCAGCATGCCTAAAGAATGTTGAAAGGGGCGCTGCCTTTGCATAGCGGAAAATACTTCCATAGAATGGTACACTCGGGATGCCTTAGATTGTTCATCAATCTACACGCTTATTAGGGAATGTCTAGATGGGTAGGTAGAAGTTTTGCTAAGCACTTCTCAGGACAAGAGATTAGAAAGAGGTCGAGGGGGTTCTTGAAGGTGCTGAACGTAGAATCTTTCTGTGTTTTGTCGTTATCCGCCTAATTGAACAGGATCCGAACCTTCGAGTAACTCCGAAGGCGGCTGTCCTATCAGCAGGTGTATAATACTGGATGCATTCTACTGCCATTCTACTGAATGATTTCTGGATCGTGCAGTAGTCATGCAATGGACATGTTATCTATTCAAAACAAAGAGATTCAGGCTTTCAAAGAAGAAGCATTATTTTTTTTATTCTTTTACTTAAGCGTTTCACCCCAAGCAAGGCGGGAAGCCACTAGCACGCAAGGGGTTACAGAAGATTTGGAGCAAGAGCAGATAGGAGTGATAGAGGAAAGGATGAGGAGAAGGATAGTGGAGCGATCAAGGCAACTGGAGATGTCGATTGACATTACATTTGAATAGTAGGAGATTATAGCTCTCAGAGAAACTGGAATAGGGAAGGCAGTTCCACAGGCGAGAGGTGCGAGACATGAATCTATTGGAGTAGAAGAAACGGCTACATTTAACAGTTTCAACAGTGAAAGGGTGAGAGCGGGATGCTAGCCTCGTAGACAGAGCGAGGCGACGGTGTGTCTATGAGAGAGCGACTGTAGACGAGATGCCAGAGGGAGGGTTATGGAGAGGGTATATATATATATATATATATATATATATATATATATATATATATATAATATATAAAGTTTCAATCTCCCACCTTCTCCCGTCTGTTACCCCTCTTTTAACTCTAACATTCGTCCTACACTCTCATACTTACACTCTCTCTAAATTCTATTTTATTTCCGAGTTGTTTTTTGTTTGTTTTTTTTTGAATTTGTAGGTCTGATGAATTGGATCGTATTTACGATTCCAATGGAATAATATTATATCCTTACTCTGTCCTGGACATTGAGTTCTACCTGGATTCTATCCTCCTGAATTTTTTTTTATTCAAAAAATATATGTGTATGCATGTATGTATATATATTTTTTATATATTTTGCATATGTATGTGTATATTTACTACTAATATTATCTATCTATCTATCTATCTATCTATCTATCTATATATATATATATATATATATATATATATATGTGTGTGTGTGTGAGAGAGAGAGAGAGAGAGAGGGGGCATGCTATATTTATAAATTAAAGTATTCAATTTCAGAGATAGAGCATATGGAAATATAAAAGTGGAGATTAAAGCCAACACCTAGAGGCGATAGCATGAAACCGTCTTCAACATCACACGCACACACACACACAAAACACCCAAACACACACACATATATATATATATATATATGTGTGTGTGTGTGTGTGTGCAGGCGCGTGTGTGTGTGTGTGGGGGGTGAGACATATAATACTATCCGAAAAAATGGAAATAAGGAGACAATGTGTAATAGGTTTTAAACGATGCGTTTCGCCGACGTGACGTCTGTTTTCGTTTCGATTCGTTTTCTTCGGGTTGGAATGAATGACAAAATGGTGTATAAAGAAAAATACACTGAGGGTTTTTTTTTTGTGGATAAGAGAGACAATAAATTACATTACCTTATCAGATCTAAGAACCAGACGACAGAAGGCATGTTAACGCCGTTGGTGCCAGATTTTTAAATCAGTTAATTATTAAAATGCGCGACACACCCATCCCACCGCTACACACCCATTCCTTCCACGAACACACAAACACACATATGTTCAAAAATCGGGTAGGCAGTGACTGGCCACGACTATGTTTCCTGCATTTGCACGCAATCATCAGGTAACCAGTAATATTTACCGACCTCTTCAGGAGGTATGATGTGGCACAAGGCCGAATTTAATGTGGGGCAATCCGATACTGTAGGCTCGGCCAAAAATACCCCGTAAACTCCGCATAAATGGGTTCGGGTCTGTCTATCTCCCTGAACGAGACTCTACCCTTTCGCATAGCCTCGTCCGGATTCCTCTCTGCCAGAATGCAGAGAGTTCGAACACGCGGCCGGCTACCTACCCACCTGATCATCAGGTAGCAAGAATATTTACCCGGAACCTCCTCACACGGCGGGATGTGGCACAAAGCCTGTTTTTAACGTGGAGTATTCTGAGACTTTAGGCTCGACCAAGAATCGACCGAGATTGTCTACTAACCCGGACGAGGCTATGCCCTTCGGCCTAGCCTCGTCCGGGTTTCTCGCTCTCCGAAGGCAGAGAGTTCAACAGCTAAGAGCTGAGCACGCGCCCAGTTTCAACTGCCTACCTGATCATCAGGTAGCTATATGAGTACCTAGTAGAACAAATTGGGTTCTATAGCTTTGGGTGGCAATGGGTCTATAAAAAAGACAATTATATGTAGCCCTGGCGAAGCATATACTATATAGCCCAGAAAAGGATCATTCGCATGATCCTGACTATGGTCGAATATTTGTTTTTAAGGTTGATTGGTATCTAGCCTAGCCAGTCAGTCAACCAATAGGCGTTTTTCTATCTCTTATATCCAGTTATTGCACGAAGTTTTGTCTGCATGTGTTGGAACGATTGTACGAACTGTAGGCTTGCTGAAATATCCACATAACCTTCTTGCATTAAATCTTGCGTGAAGGTCTGTGCATCTGTTACCGTGCCGCAGAAAATGCTTGGTCAGGCTTCTTCCAAGCATTCTTTATAAATCGGGTTTTCTGAGTGGAACGTCCACTTCAAAGCCGATCGAATGCCGGTCCAAGTTAATGAGAAATATGGTTAACAAAAATCACCAGGAATATGCAGAAAATTCGTGAAATCGATCAACAATTCATCATCGATTGATTGATTGATTTCCTAAGGCTTATCAACCATTTGCAGGTTATTTAAAGCCAGAAAATATTTTTTTAGATCGCTAGAATTTTGCTTTTGAGATAATAATGATTTAGTGATACAAGTCTTAATAATTAACCTAAATCTGAAGAGAGAAGAGGTGGACTCGTACTCAATTTTAGACCCACTAGACTGACAGAGTGTAATTGATTTCTATTTTTTTTTCTTTGGATTAGGTCATTTGCAGTGGTGTGCAATAATATTAATCTATTTTCGGGGTCTATAATGAAATTGGTTTGGCCTTGAAAAATATTGCGTCATCATTGATTGCTTCAGATTTTTATCACGCCCAGACACTGACACTATTGTCTCGACTGTCGATTCTTTGTCCTAGGAGTATTTGCGCGTAAGTGAATATAAGTAAACCGACTGGTATTGGAACTCGGCTCTGCGATTTAAAATTCCGACCCATTATCAATTACACCAGCCGCACATTAAACTTACAGCACCAGATATTCTCAAGAGTTCACCCAGCTTGGTACAGACCAATCTCGACCTCGCTTAACTTCGGTGATCGTGATGTGGCCATGAGCCGAACAAACGGATCAGTTATTACAAAGAATTCCCATTTGGGCAATGATACGATACCAGCTTGCCCATATTTGAAATGCGCAAGTTATATCAATATTATACACGTGAAATATTTCCATCTAGAAAATTATCGTATATACTCGTGTACAAGCCGACTTCATATACAGTGCAACCTCTGATTATTATTTTTTTTGGCATGAATTTTAAATTTCGCTTGAGGATGAAACAGCTTTTGGCTCTTGTTTTTGAAACATGAGAACTCTTATGTAGCGAAGGAATCAGAATTTTAAAAAAATGATTATAATTATAATTTAGGCTCTACTTTTGTATTGAGCACTGTTTTTTTTTAAAATGAAAAAAATACTAAAGAACTTCAGATTATTTATCTAACGTGTTCTTTCCTATTTTTCTATATAATTACATACACACACACACACACACATATATATATATATATGTATATATAAAGGCATTTTTATGTTTATACATTCTTTTTATAGATACAAATATTTAAGTAAATGCTCTGTTTTATATTAAACAGTATTAAACAACATTTAGCGGCCTGAATGTCCGAGAAATTTTCAGGTCAGTAAATGTTGTTTAATACTGTGTATTATAAAACAGAGCATTTACTTAAATATTTGTATCTATAAAAAGAATGTATAAACATAAAAAATGTCTTAAAATAATTGTTGGACTTTGTCCATTCCATTATATATATATATATATATATATATATATATATATATATAATCTCTGGTTGACACGGCTTGGACTTGTACACGTTCTGTACGGGGGAACTGGCTATCGGCAACAACGCACGAGGAAGACCTTATCTACGCTTCAAGGATGTCTGCAAAAGGGTCATAAGGTCAATAGACATGGACACTGAGAGGTGAGAAGACGTCGCCAACGATCACTCACATTGGAGACGCGATTTACACCGAGAGTTGGAGCGAGGAGAGGAGAAACAGAGTTTTGCTTCTGGGAAGAAGCGTTCTCGACGGAAAGAAAACACACGGTAACATCGGGGGGAGAGCGTCTTCAGATGCATTCGTTGCTATCGAGACTGTTACTCACGTGTTGACTTGTCCAGTCATAACAAATCCTGTGCCCTCCATCAGCAGGTCAGACATAACTCTTTGGGCAGAGATCCATGGCCTCCCTATACCGACGGAAGCTACATACATACGTATAATCTAGGTACCTAAAGAAAAAAAAAATAACGATACTTAAGGTTTAAAATTAATTTAAAAAATTAAAAATCTTTCTTGAAACTTTTAGATTAGTTTTAATTTCAAGCTAATAGATTAAATTTAATATTTCTAATAAGCAAAATACTTTGCTGTATGTTAAAATCTAATTTAAAATTAATTTAAATTGACTGGAAGGACTTTCTTTTTCTAAAATAGCTGATTAGCACCATTTTTAGTCACCTTTCATCGCAAATTAATTCCCTTTATTAAAAAAAAATCTTTCAAAAATAAATTATGCTTTTCTGAAACTTTATTTTGGGAATATTAGCTGATTTAAAGCATAATTAAGCGGATTTGAAACAAATATTATTTACTTTAAGTTTAGATTATCACAAAAATGCATTTTTTAACCAGACAGTAGCTGTTCATTTAAGGCATTTGCGGGTTTGACTGCTTCATGACAGATTGATAGTTATCTTTTTTTTTCTATGGTGGGATTTAGGCGTCAAAAACTATTGCATTAACATGAGCGCCATTTACATATAATTTTTAAGTACTCAGTAATCTTAAAAATTTAAGAAAATATTCTCCGTAATATAATGTTTTAAATATTTTTGGTTGTAAATTTACTATACTACTCGCACTTGTTTTCTGATAATGTGTATGGTCATCCGTATATAGAAAATTGGAACGTTTATACACATAAAAAAATTCAAAATTCCTTTTAAAATATTGGTGTCTGATGATTTATACTAATCTTTTCTATTTATGAGATGTTGTGAGTTTCCCGCGTGTAAGTGTATGAATCAAGACAAACACAGTTGTAGAGGAAAATACTGGTATATTCATAAAAGCAATTAACAATAGAGTGATTAGTAGAACGAAGGTTGGTTAGTACGAAACAATATCCAAAGTCTATAGTCCAACGGTATGTACCGGGTAAGCTTATCTGGACTGCTAACCCTGACTCTCTCCCCAGAGCTGACTTATATAAGAGGGACCAGTCCATTACTTGTTAGAAGGTGGGTGCGCCCCAACAATTTATGACCTATGTATATATATATATATATATATATATATATATATATATATATATATAAAACTGAGGATGTCTGTGTGTCTATGTGATGCCTTTTCACCCGAGATCCATCCAACCACTTTTGATCAAGCCTGGCACATATAATGTACAAGTTAAGAAATAGCTTAGCGTAAAAAATTGATATTTAAAAAAAAAAAATCAGTAATCGATAAAGCCGATAAAAATCGATGAATTTAGCCTTTTTCCTCCGATTTCGTTCAAACTCGGTACTTAGGCTAATTATATCATGACGAGCTCAGCGATATCTCATTTTTTATTTCTACGCTACTGCATTCGGTGAAAAACCGCGAAAAACCAAAAGTCGATTTCAGCACAAATCGATTTCAACACAAATTATAAACTAAAAACTCCCTCAATTTTCAAGCAATCTAATACAAACTACACTCAATTGTAGCCAACAATAAGTCGATTGTTTAACAGTCATTTAACTTGATAATTGAGTCCAATCATAAAGTGAAAACTCACTGTTGAAACTTGGATAAGCATGGAATAATAATAATACAACACAAAATGTACGTAAACAAAATGTATTGAAACAAGGAAAAGGTACACAATATTTACAGTTAGTTTTGGTATATTCTTGGGAAGACTGTTCCTGCATAATGGGTTGACTAAATCGCAGTCGGGCAGAGTCTCTGGATTCGATCTCTTCTTACAATCTCTTTTCGTCTTCCGGTACCAACCCATATTTATATGGTCGGTACTCCACTTATGTAAATTGGGTGTATCATACACAACACCCTTCTCCCAAGCCTTGGAATCCCTTTTGGATTTCAAATTGGCTTCCTATATGGGTTGATGATTATGGCCATTTCTTTGTAGATCCATTTGCCTAATTTTAATATTTTTTCCGTTTTGGATTCACGTTCAATGGGTCCGTCAACTTCCGTTTCCTACCGGATCTTCTTGGTTCAGGTGTATTCTGTGGAGGTTCTACCTGAAACATATCATACATTATATCAATGGGATCTTCGTCCTCATCCGGTATACACTCTTCTTGCTCTATACCGTAATCTTTTTTAAGTTGGTTTTGGTGCCTTTATGAGTATTCTTCGGCCCTTTAATTATGTAAATCAGGTCACCGATTCTCTTGTCCACTATGCCTCGTTCCCAGAACTCAACGTTGTTTTTATAGCACTTGAAAACACCTTCTCTCCGGGAGTGTATCTTTTTTTTCTCGCTGTATACATGGTATTTTTTTTACTCTATTTTTTCCTGGCAAAAGCTTGTCAAACACTGACTTAACTTTCCTAGCGAACATTAGTTCAGCTGGTGCCATGTTTGAGTGTGTTCTCTGGTTTGGCGTGATTCTGTATACTTGTAAGAATTGCTGAAGCGCCTTTTCCGTTGGAACTCCTGAGGCTTTCTTCAGAGCTCGCTTTAAAGTATCGACAAATCTTTGACTCTTTGACTTTAAATCCAAAGTCCTGAATCTTTTTAAATACTTGATTGAGATGCTCTCGATGTTCGTCGACCGATTCGCTCCTTACTATGATGTCGTCTAAGTAAGCGCACGCAAAGTCTAAATCATTCAGCATGACGTCCATAGCTTGTTGAAAAATGGCAGGTGCCACTTTAATACCAAAAGGAAGCCTGTTGTACTTGAACTCTCTATGCGTGTTTATCCCTAGTAACTTCGAACATTCCTCTTCGACGGGAATTTGGAGATAGGCATCTGATAAGTCAATTTTTGAAAATATAACTCCACCATTTAGCTTGTTAAAAATCTCCTCCGGACTCGGTAACGGGTAATGGTAGTCCTTAATTACCGAGTTCAACCCTGTCGAAAAATCAACGCAGACTCTGACTTGGTTTGATTTCTTTTTTGCACACAATCGGCGCAGCCCATGAATTAGATTCTACTTTCGAAATAATTCCCATTTTTTTCCAACCTATCAAGTTCTTCGTTAATTTTCTCTACACTTGCGAAAGGCACATTACGTTTCTTTTTAAAAATTGGCATAGTATTTTCCTTTAATTCGAATTTGGCTTCAAACTTGTTACATCTTCCAAGACCAGGTGTGAAAGTTTCCGGAAACTTTCTTTAATTCCTCATTAATGTCCTGTCTTGTTTGCGTATTACTTTCTACTTTTCTGCAGAAAGAGTTTAACGGTTTATCCCACAATTCGAATGTTTCAATAAAATCTGTACCCATCAAGTTTTCTCCATTTTTCAGAATGAAAACTTTTATTTTTTTAACTATCCCGTTCAACTTCATGGGAAGTACAACCTCGCCTTCGAATTTAATTTCCTTTCCAGTCACTGTTCGAGCGCGTTTCGTTGACTTCATTATTGTAGGCCTTTTTAAAATTTTCCATGTTTTATAGTTCATTATTGTTAAATCTTAACCCGAATCGAGTTGAAATTTGATATTCTTTTTAAATATTTCAGTCGTCACACCTCCCGCAAATCTCTATCTGATTTGATATTTGAATTTATTTGTCTAATTCGGCTATTGACTTTTTCGTTTTACAACACGACCCTTTGTGACCAACATTTTTTATTTCTATATGGGCAATTTACCTCCCAGTGTCTTTCGTTGCACCGTCTACAATTAAATGGCGGAACCATTTTTTTTTCCTCCTCATTTTTTTCATTTAATTTTTTTTTCTATTTTTAAAATACGCCGAATTTTTAATCCAATTTTTTTCTGATGGGTAATTTGACCGTTTCTTCACTTTTTTAATATAAGCAATACCAGCTTC